GAAGCTCCTGCACCTTTTCAGGCGTCTGGCGTTTTCCTGCTCAGGTGTGAACCAGGGCCATTGAAAATCATGGGATTTCTTGTGTTGGGCAGTTAAAAGTGCTTTTCGAACTGCTCAAAAACGCAGAGGTGTGAACCAGGGCTTAAAGTATACAGCAACAGTATACTAAAAAAAAAAACAAAAAAAAAAAAACTCCACCTTATAGCATTAGAAAACTTTACTTGAACTCCAGTCAATGATCGCGATGAGGGGGATCAGTCTGCTGCAGACAAAGAAGAATTTTCTCAGTCTCCTCTTCCTCAGCGAGCAGTCTGCTGCAGGTAAGAGGAGGCATTTCCTCAGTCCCCTCTCCCCTAGTGACCAGACTGCAACATTATAACTTGGTAGTGAAGTGAGAGGCTGATCTGTGTCGGGCATTTAAGGACACCGCCAAGAACTGCATAGTCACCAGAATTTACAAGATTGTCTCCGAGTCAGCATCCCAGTCCAGAAAGTTGGTGGTGACCCTTGATGATGCCTGAACAAACATGGCTCTATCCTTCTGGAAAGAAAAGCAGCCAAAGACATTCCCGGGGACTACCGTGATCTCTGTGAGAGGTAATAAATGCATTTACACATTATTGTACACACTTAGCATGACAAAATAATTCTGCTGCTAGGCCTACTTTAAGAGCGCTCCATATCCAGGGAGAGGTGGAATATTGGCAACAACTTCCACAGCTGCTAAAATGGTCCTAGTATTGTACAATTAATAAATCAGCTTTCAAATAAATAATAAATATTCTTCATGAGTTATCCCGAGAAGCAGAAGTGATGATGGCTGAAAGACAATGTCCCCTCACCCTGTTTGTGCTTGAATGATTGAGGTGATGGAAATCACATAATGTTAATAAAAATTAAAAAAAAGAAGAAAACCCTGATGAGCCTGTAAGAACTTCCACCATTTGTTTTATGTAAGTTATCCATAATGGAGGAAAGTGACAAAATTGCTTCTTCCAAAATAAAGACTTTCTCTTTCTTAGCTTTTTTCGTCCTGTTCTCCATCCCCAGAATTTCCCCCCATATGAGGTCCTATTAAACCTCTGAAGAGTTAAGAATCCATGGGATTGGAACACGACATGTTCACAAGAGATTTTCCCTTGTGGTCCAAACAGAACACGGCACAAAAGAGCGAAAAAGGGTCATCTGCTCCAGGCTGATGTCCACCAAACTACAGGAAGTAGTAACATAACATGTGTACAGACTGTTCATAAAAATGTATGAATTCTCATCATACCCCTCATTCAGCGAGGCAACAGGAAAGGTGCAAAATATAGCAACTGACAGCAACCAGATAGAAACCAAATGTAGCTAGGCAAGATCCCTCAGCCAGTGCACAGCCAGACCGCCCCTCAACCAACCGGTGCACAGCCAGACCGCCCCTCAACCAACCGGTGCACAGCCAGACCGCCCCTCAACCAACCGGTGCACAGCCAGACCGCCCCTCAACCAACCGGTGCACAGCCAGACCGCCCCTCAACCAACCGGTGCACAGCCAGACCGCCCCTCAACCAACCGGTGCACAGCCAGACCGCCCCTCAACCAACCGGTGCACAGCCAGACCGCCCCTCAACCAACCGGTGCACAGCCAGACCGCCCCTCAACCAACCGGTGCACAGCCAGACCGCCCCTCAACCAACCGGTGCACAGCCAGACCGCCCCTCAACCAACCGGTGCACAGCCAGACCGCCCCTCAACCAACCGGTGCACAGCCAGACCGCCCCTCAACCAACCGGTGCACAGCCAGACCGCCCCTCAACCAACCGGTGCACAGCCAGACCGCCCCTCAACCAACCGGTGCACAGCCAGACCGCCCCTCAACCAACCGGTGCACAGCCAGACCGCCCCTCAACCAACCGCTGCACAGCCAGACCGCCCCTCAACCAACCGCTGCACAGCCAGACCGCCCCTCAACCAACCGCTGCACAGCCAGACCGCCCCTCAACCAACAGGTGCACAGCCAGACTGCCCTCAACCAACCGGTGCACAGCCAGACTGCCCTCAACCAACCGGTGCACAGCCAGACTGCCCTCAACCAACCGATACACAGCCAGACAACGAAAGTGATTTGATGGATATGGGCATTTACATATTACAATTTTATGCATTAGGTGAGCTTTAAAGTGACACTAACCTCAGGAGTTACATCTTACAAATACATTCAAGTATCTTAACTATTAACAACAATGCATCTTATTTGTGTATCACTCGGCTGTAGATCCTCCAATCATCTCTGAATTGGTGCTGACACTGTCCTTCCTTCTGGAGGGGGGCTACTTATGTTCCCCATGGTCCCTGTGTGTGTTGTAAAGTAGTCACCGCTCCAAGCTCACCCCTGTGATGGACTACAATCTCATGATAGTTTACTAATTTGTATTGAGATTCAAGTCCATCCCGGGAACGAGTTGTTGCAAACTTTGAGGATGAATGGCTCCACAGTGCAAACAGCAACAGAGGTGCTTTCTTCAAAACTAAATTTACTGTTTGTTAGGAATATGTAAATATTTGAAAGTCCACAGACTGGGCACAGATTACCCTTGAATCCGGACGTAGTAGAGAGAAGCGGGCAACTCCAGCTGCCTATACCTCCAAATCTACGCAATTGGCTGATTGGCGGAAAAGCAAATGTTTTGTCCGAATCCAAAAAATGTAACTTATTCACCTTTGAAAAGAGACACTTAAGAGGGGACCTTATTGCCGTCTTCAAAATCATCAAAGGGGACCACAATATTCGGAACAAACTGTTGAATCTGAAAACTGTATTGAGAACCCGGGGACACAAGAGGTTAGAAGAGAGGGTTGTTTTTCTTACTGTGAGTAATGAAATTGTGGAATTCCCTACCACAGGCTGTGGTATCCGCCTAGAGCATTGATAAATTCAAGAAACTTCTTGATGAATTTCTTACTTCACTACATATACAAAAATATGGGAAGTGTTAGAGCCAGATAAATACAGACACACAATCACATACACCCGTGGGTTGAACTGGATGGACCCTTGTCTTTATTCAATCTCACCTACTATGTTACTATTCATGTTACTTCTCATTGAACATAACCCAAGCCTTATGCATTATTTTCCATCACATCCTCAGTTCCGGTTGCCCAGGTATGAGCCAAGTTTATAAATCCTTCACTGGGTTAGGACACATCATTGATCATTCATAAAATAAAGTGAGCTGTGAAAATATAAATCTCTGTTATATGTCCAAAAGATTTTGAAAGCTTCTGAGTGCTGTGGACATTTGATATGAAGCTGTGTTAATGGGGGAGGTTTTTCTGATAAAGCTCAGGTTTTAATGTCTGGAGCCTGCTGACGGGGCTGAGGTCACAGAAAAGAATCTGCATTTGGCTATATACCCAAAGAGTGGAAAAAAGCCAAGAAGCTGACGTCTTCCCTCGGAGCAGGGATACTTCTATCAGTGAGCGCTATGAGATGAGTTCTGGAGCAACTGGCTGAAAGATGCTAAGAACAGATGGAAACGACGAAAAAGATGCCTTGTAGTATTGGATGACAACTTTGAAGCTCATCTCAGACTCAGAAGGCAAAAGATTGGATTGGAGACATTCAGTAGATTTACAATTGTTTTCCACCAAAGAGCAAGTTGGTACATTTCCCTCTGGGGTAGTTCAAGCAGCCAGAAAACCGGAAGAGGACTGTAGCTGTTCCTTGACCTGGCAGCTCAGTACCCTTCACCTGGATGGTGGCATCTTGTCTAGCTTAGGGGTGCGCTATGTCACCTCCAGTTCACACTGTGACATTTGCTGCGTGCTGGTGGTAAGCAAGAAGGACTTGACAACTGTGCTGCGACTTCAGGCAGAGTGGTTGAGCCTTCATGGCACTCAGCTAAAAAAGGGAAAGAGCAACACAGATGATGATGCCATGCATTCCCTTGTGCCAAGACTCTGGCAAACTGCTGGAGAGGGTATGTGGCAGTGTTCTGGACTCCTTTGGCCCCCAGATCAAACAGTGCCTGCAGCAGAGCCAACGTTAGTTAAGGGAGCCAGCCATCAAAATAGGCAGGGCTGACACCATGTGGTTGCAAATTGAGGACCAAAATACAACGGGCCAGATAAAGAACCTACTGGTTCTTGTGGTAGGAATCCCAGGTGTCCAGTTCAGATGCGGCCGCTGCAACAGTCCAAGTTAATGACTGGGAGGCGGTGGCCGCATCTGTAAGCGACAGTCCGAAACGCAATCCTATTGTTACATGTGGTTTGGACCAGATCACAGTCACTGGACGCATCCATCATGTGTTAAGGGACAGCGATCTATTCCAAACATTATGTAATCATATCACATACGAATACATACAGACTGCCGCTTACAGATGCGGCCACTGTCACCCGGTCATTACCTTGAATGGGTGACAGCAGCCACATCTAAATGGGAGACTTGGGATTTCTGATTCTGCATAGTGTGAATGAGGCCTGAGATTTCCCTGCTGTATACCAAAACAGTGCCGACACCTGATTAGAAAAAATATAATATTGACTTTTGTTGAACGTGTTGGTGCTGGTAGGGCCACCTGCAGCTCTAATTTTGGCAGATTCTTCAGGAATTGGCTGAAATTTAAGCTGTGGGTGTCCAGCTTTAGGCTACATTCACGAGGGTTAAGTATCATTATATAACCATGTGACTGTTATTTTCCAATCTAATTGGACTCAATTAAAAATAACGGTCACATTTTCAATAAGCAGAAGTCTAAAAAGCAAAATAAATCCTTATCCTGGGGTGTTAGTTTTGGGAATTGAGCCCATTGTCTGAATGGTCATCTAGATAGACATCACCTTTACTGAACGCTACATAAGAATAATAATGCATGCTCGGCCCAACTGAGCACAGAGTAGAAATACATTTTTGTAGTTGGATCACACACACATCAGCCTGACCGTCATCCCTCGTCTGGGAGCACTGTAGTTGGCATAAAGCGACAAAAGCAAAAAACGCAAAAACTCACTTGACGGGCGCCCTGGCGTACACTTGGAGCCAGTCTGGGATCTCAGCTGTATGGTATGGATTGGCAGGCACGAGGAGTGGCTGGCTTCTCTCCACTTGTCGAGGCTGATAAGTGACTGGAGGAGGGAGGGGAGGGGGCTGGTCATAGCGAGGAACACTGCAAACCAAGAACAAGACTGGAATGAGACAAAGGTACAGCAGGCCAGACACTAAAACTCACCCAACTCTGGCATTCTACTCTGCATGCAATGCATTATGATGATGAAAACTGCTCAACATACCCCGACTAAGTGACATTCAGTCTGTTATACAAATCTAGTTTACAACTGATAATGGGATCTGCCAGCACAGTACAGACACTGTTTATTACGTTAATCTCCCCACCCTCTTGCTCTTAGACCGGTCCTTACAGCCTCGCTCCCCCTCCACTGCAGCGATCTAAGGATCCTCACGTCATCACGACCAATACACTGTGTAATGGACATGAGGATGCCGAGGGACATACCATCGCTGCAGCTTAGGAGACAGGCTGGAGGGAGCTCTTTGACAGGCTGGAGGGAGCTCTTTGACAGGCGGACAGCTCCAAGCCTTGGGTGAGTATGTATGTATGTATGTATGTATGTATGTATGTATGTATGTATGTATGTATGTATGTATGTATGTATGTAACGAACTTTATGTTTTACTAAAAATATGGGTAAGAATAAATGTTTTATAACATAACGTAGGGAAACTTTTTTTTTTTTTTACATTTATGGTACTTTTATCATTATATAGTAAAACAACAAAAAAATAACCCCCCGTGGGGTCACAAAAGAAAGCTCTATCTGTCCCCAAAAATTTTTAACATAAATTGCAAGGCTATAGTCCGGTCATGCTGACTGGTGAAATACCGTAAAATTTTTCAAGCCCTATATATATATATATACACACACACACATTCATTGGTCCTTAGACTAAAAAACCCTTGCAGAATGGGAAAGGGTTAATAAAAAAATTTTTGCAGAGAAATCTGCTTTATCCCATACAATTACCAGGGAGAAATCCTTACATAATTAGCGGTCCTCTAAGTCCGAGCAACAAACTGGTTCTCATACTCGCCATTGGAGGTTGAATATTGCAGTCAAAGCAAATGCTGGAGTTGCTACTCTGCCAGTCTAGACTAAGTCAATGGCCACACACATGGAAAGACTGAGAAGAGAAGAATGATTTACCTAGGAGCACACGGGTGCTTGTACTGGGCTCTCTTATTAATATGATCCACGTAGTAAACGCCAAACTCCGCCGACTCTACGCGTTCCCAGCCAGGGGGCAGCCCCTCCCTCTCCAGGGGATGGCTCCAATGGGTAGTGTTTGTGTTGTGGTCGATGTAATACTTCCGCCCTCTTATTGTCCAGTCCACGGACCAGCCACCAGGTAGAGGCATATCTTCTGAACTGTGATTGGTCAGGTTTCCTAAAGAAGTGGCCGCAACCCTTCCGATGCCTGTCCCGGGAAAAAAAAAAAGAAAGAAAATCACATAACCTCATATGCAATTAACATTATCTTGTAAGATGGAAAGAGGTTAGAAGATGTCTTGCACCAAGTTACACCACAGTCACATCCTGCTACAAGAATGCTGGACGAAGGAGAAATACTGATCCCAAGTTCGTTCACCTCACCGGCTTCCCCTCCCACAAGAATCTGACTCGTGAAAGGATCACTTCATACACATAGGATGAGCACATCACTGTTGTTAAATCATAACTGGAAAGGTCAGAAGGCCTTCAAAGCTGAACTCCGGGCAGACAAAGAAATGCAGCTCTGTGTTCATTCATTTTTATTTCTTATAAGCATTTAAATAGAGGCGCTGTACACGCTGCACATCAGTCGCTGCTCTCAAGGAGCTTACAATCTCAGATCCCTGTTGTCCATGCACACACCTATTTCAATGTACGTGGTAATGCAGGTTACCCTGCAAGTCAATGAATGTATTAATGTGCAGCAATATCACACAATTTGCTTTTTGATTGGTTATTATTATACAGGATTTATATAGCGCCAACAGTTTGCACAGAGCTTTACAATGTAAGGAAGACATTACAATCACAATACAAATCAAGACAAGATGGTAAGGAGGGCCCTGCCACTGAGGGCTTACAGGAACTCGGGATGCACCAATACTCATGAAAATGCCCCGATACTAAATGCTGATACTGTCGCTTCACATTTTTAAATGGAAGTGGCTGCCGGAGATCCGACGCTTCCTGGGAACCTTGGCAGCCTTTCTGTGAACCACACGGCACCTGTTTACAGCACCAGCCTTACATATGCCTCTCCTTACTGGGGAACCCCTCCACAGCCCCAGCGAGACCCTCCCACACAGCCCACCTAAGATCGTCCACTGGAGACATCAGGCTGGCACCACGGAGCAACATAGAGTATGTAGCTTCATATTATTCTGCAATGCTGTATAAATGTATTACTGGGATTTGTAGTCCTCTATAACTAGTTGCCATTTGGCATTATTGTATAAAGTATTGCTGGGATTTGTAGTCTTGTATAGCTGATGGTATTATTCTGCGATGCTGTATTATGTATTGCTGGGATTTGTAGCCATGTACAGCTGATGGTATTATTCTGCATTGCTGTATAATGTATTGCTGGGATTTGTAGTCCTGTATAGCTAATAGTATTATTCTGCGATGCTGTATTATGTATTGCTGGGATTTGTAGCCTTGTATAGCTGATGGTATTATCCTGTATTGCTGTATTGCATCACATAATTAGTCTGTTTTAGAAAAGCTGTCACATGACAATAAAAAAATAAAATAAAAAAAAACAATTGGTAATTGGTATCAGCAAGCACTTGTACTCAGTCTGGAGAAAATGGTATTGGTGCATCCCTAATAGAAACCCATCAGGCAAGAATGCAAAGGTGGAATCCAGCCTTTAACTGTTCCAGATGCAGATTTTCTTATTACACAATGCTGTGTAGTGGATCTAAAGCAGAACTGTTGCACTGGATAATTTTCGTTTTATTTTGCCCAGGCATACACTATAAAACCTACATGTTTACTTCAGGGATCACGCACACGGGTGTATTCATGATCAAATACAGACGTATTGCCATACAGGGTAAAATACACCTGTATTTGCTGTATTTGCGAGCTGCAGTCTCCTGTACATAGCAATGTATGGACAGAAAATACAGTAGGCCCGCATATGCCAGTACCGGCTGTTGCAAGGGGGTACATTTCCGAATGTGGATGTTCTGGAAACTTACGCTCATGCAAACACCGGTGCCAGTGTTTATAGGCATACACCCGGGTATAGCATTTTCTGTCCATACATCGATATAGACAGAAAACAACAGCAAGTGTGCCGGCTCCTTGGCGCCACACAAAGGCGTATTTTACGTTGTTTGCAATTACGCACCTATTCACTCATGAGTGCACCCGTGTGCATGAGCCCTTACTGTTCCATCTGTGTAAGAGATATTTTCACAACCTTCAAATCATGGCATGGGGGGGGTCACATGGACACTCCTAAGATTAGTGCACCCAGGAGTACTGTGTAAAAGCATCATAAGGCCAATGGTTCCATATTGGGGACAGACAGGTATTCACAGTGACGGACACATAGTAAAATGGTGGAAATACTGGAGTGTTCAACACTTGGGGTCTGATTTATTAAGGGTTTGCTGAGCGCATAGCTGATTTATTAAGGGTTTGCTGAGCGCATAGCTGATTTATTAAGGGTTTGCTGAGCGCATAGCTGCTTCATAGCCAATCAGCATCGAGCCGGCCAAACAGATCTGATTATAGGGTGACACAACCTCCACCCTGCAGACACCCAATCCTCCTCACACACATATCCATCCTCAGGATCAGTCATTACCGTACCACAGATGTCCCTCGGCCAGCTGGACCGACACCACTCACCACAAGCTGGCTTCCCGACCAATCAGCATCGAGGCTCCACGTTTCCTCGCGGAACTGCTGGTCAGAGGAAATCTCCCTCTGACCGGAAGTTCCGTTATCAGGAAAAGTATCGGAGCATTTGGGCGAGTACGAGTACTTGCCCAAATACTTGGTATCGGCAGCGATACCAGTATCAGTGCATCCCTACCCCTGTGACAACTGCAATCTGTAATGTAAGGTTCCGCGCCATCGCTAACACTCACTGGTCCCACACTAATGATCAACAACTGTGGTCATTGGTTCCTCATCAGGTGATCATCATGGCAGCCAATAATAGGGATTATTTCGGGCAGCCATTTCCTTTTACCGCCGGACAGGCAGAAAGAGAGGGAAGTATTTTATCTTCTTCTGCAGCTCTCAGATTAGTAACAGTCTTCTTAAAATATGGAAATCACATAAAAATAGTTTTCAGGTAAATAGAACTCATGAGAAGTACACAGATAAGAAGTCGCTGTTCTGTTACCTGCGGGATGTCTGCCTGGTCCGTGTATCATTCTCTGTATGTGATCATTGCCGTGTTCATAATATCTGAAGTCTTCATGTTGCGTTCTCCTTTGACCATCGTAATGGTGGTCCGCGCAGAAATACCTGCCGTTCGCGTCTCCGTTCTCCATAACCGAATTGGCTTCTGTTAAAAACGACTGAGAGGAGGAGCCATACTCCCGGGGAACGTCGCCCAGCCCCCGCACTAGGTAGGAAGGGGCGGACATCCTGTTACTCTCCCTGCGCATGACCTCCTGGGGGGTTCTTTGAACCGGAGTCCGTAAAAAACTTTGATTCCTCGAGACCCCCCCATCCCCTGCAGTGGGGTACTGTGAGGGGGCGGGATCTGCAGAGCAGATGTCAGTTCGGCGTGGGATGGTTGGACCATGGCGGATGAAGGAGGGCATCAAATCTAGAATTAAAAAAATAAAAAGAGATGTAATTTGCAAAGTTTAAATGATCGGAGTAAATAAGTACAGCAAAAGCACATGACCCCACCACACTACCAGTATTCCCTATATTGGCTCAGCCTGATCACATGACCCCCACCACACTGCCAGTATTCACTATATTGGCTCAGCATGATCACATGACCCCCACCACACGTTCATTATTCACTGTATTGGCTCAGCATGATCACATGACCCCCACCACACGTTCATTATTCACTATATTGGCTTAGCATGATCACATGACCCCCACCACACGTTCATTATTCACTATATTGGCTCAGCATGATCACTTGACCTCACCATATTTTCAGCATTTACTACATTGGCGCAACATGATCACATGACCCCAAAACAGTGCCAGTATTCACTATATTGGCTCAGCATGATCACATGACCCCACCATACATTCATTATTCAGTTTATTGCCTCGGCATGAGCCCACCATATTTACAGCATTTACAACATTGGCTCAGCATGGTCACATGACCGCACCACACTGCCAGTATTCACTATATTGGTTTAAAATGATCTTAAGGTACACTTGATTGTTTGGGACAAGTCAGCGCCTGAACCAAATAACAGATCAGCAATTCCGCACTGATGATTTTATCTTGGAGGCAGCAATGATTCATGTGCATAATAAAAGATGAGAGGAAAACAAAACGCCCTCCATCATATCGCTTCACTAAATATCCCCAGGCTTGGTGTATGCGGCCCGAGATTTCTTCTCTCTCTCCCTCCATCACCCTGCAAAACTCTGATAAGAATTCACTTCCATTCCTGAGACCCGGATCTGGCTCCGCTCCAACCTACAGAGCAACCACAGAAACCACTGAGAAGACTTTCCTGCTACGAGAGGCTCACACAGTCCATTTCCCTTCATACTAGACTCCTATGACTCCTCATCTGTCATTTGTGTCCTGAAGACCCCAAAACTGGCCCTCCAACATATCGAAGATCAATGATCTCCAGATATTCATAGACATGAGATGACGGATGTTTTTATCATCTGCCCTTTTAAAAGGTGGACTACAAGTCATGCTCTATTCTAAGTTATCCTGCAGACTTTCGATGTGACCCCATACCACGGGGATCTTTCTACACCCTGGGGATCCTTCTATGCGCCAGAGATCCTTGTATACCCCGGAGTTTGTATTCCTTCATTCACAGTGATGTCAGAGAGCCAATCTTTAAAGTCTGTGACCCCCAACTTGACTCTCCGCAACCCCAGAGACTCCGTTCTGACTGTTACCCCCAGGTCGTCACTGAGCGTGGCCCGCAGACCACGCTCTGCCTCTCCGTGAGGCCCGCAGACCACGCTCTGCCTCTCCGTGAGGCCCGCAGACCACGCTCTGCCTCTCCGTGAGGCCCGCAGACCACGCTCTGCCTCTCCGTGAGGCCCGCAGACCACGCTCTGCCTCTCCGTGAGGCCCGCAGACCACGCTCTGCCTCTCCGTGAGGCCCGCAGACCACGCTCTGCCTCTCCGTGAGGCCCGCAGACCACGCTCTGCCTCTCCGTGAGGCCCGCAGACCACGCTCTGCCTCTCCGTGAGGCCCGCAGACCACGCTCTGCCTCTCCGTGAGGCCCGCAGACCACGCTCTGCCTCTCCGTGAGGCCCGCAGACCACGCTCTGCCTCTCCGTGAGGCCCGCAGACCACGCTCTGCCTCTCCGTGAGGCCCGCAGACCACGCTCTGCCTCTCCGTGAGGCCCGCAGACCACGCTCTGCCTCTCCGTGAGGCCCGCAGACCACGCTCTGCCTCTCCGTGAGGCCCGCAGACCACGCTCTGCCTCTCCGTGAGGCCCGCAGACCACGCTCTGCCTCTCCGTGAGGCCCGCAGACCACGCTCTGCCTCTCCGTGAGGCCCGCAGACCACGCTCTGCCTCTCCGTGAGGCCCGCAGACCACGCTCTGCCTCTCCGTGAGGCCCGCAGACCACGCTCTGCCTCTCCGTGAGGCCCGCAGACCACGCTCTGCCTCTCCGTGAGGCCCGCAGACCACGCTCTGCCTCTCCGTGAGGCCCGCAGACCACGCTCTGCCTCTCCGTGAGGCCCGCAGACCACGCTCTGCCTCTCCGTGAGGCCCGCAGACCACGCTCTGCCTCTCCGTGAGGCCCGCAGACCACGCTCTGCCTCTCCGTGAGGCCCGCAGACCACGCTCTGCCTCTCCGTGAGGCCCGCAGACCACGCTCTGCCTCTCCGTGAGGCCCGCAGACCACGCTCTGCCTCTCCGTGAGGCCCGCAGACCACGCTCTGCCTCTCCGTGAGGCCCGCAGACCACGCTCTGCCTCTCCGTGAGGCCCGCAGACCACGCTCTGCCTCTCCGCGACCCCCGCAGTCCACGCTCTGCCTCTCAGCGACCCCCACAGTCCACGCTCTGCCTCTCAGTGACGTCCACGCTCTGCCTCTCAGCGACCCCCACAGTCCACGCTCTGCCTCTCAGCGACCCCTGCAGTCCACGCTCTGCCTCTTCGTGAGGCCCGCACACCCCGCTCTGCCTCTCCGCGACCCCCGCAGTCCACGCTCTGCCTCTCCGTGAGGCCCGCACACCCCGCTCTGCCTCTCCGCGACCCCCGCAGTCCACGCTCTGCCTCTCCGTGAGGCCCGCACACCCCGCTCTGCCTCTCCGCGACCCCCGCAGTCCACGCTCTGCCTCTCCGTGAGGCCCGCACACCCCGCTCTGCCTCTCCGCGACCCCCGCAGTCCACGCTCTGCCTCTCCGTGAGGCCCGCACACCCCGCTCTGCCTCTCCGCGACCCCCGCAGTCCACGCTCTGCCTCTCCGTGAGGCCCGCACACCCCGCTCTGCCTCTCCGCGACCCCCGCAGTCCACGCTCTGCCTCTCCGTGAGGCCCGCACACCCCGCTCTGCCTCTCCGCGACCCCCGCAGTCCACGCTCTGCCTCTCCGTGAGGCCCGCACACCCCGCTCTGCCTCTCCGCGACCCCCGCAGTCCACGCTCTGCCTCTCCGTGAGGCCCGCACACCCCGCTCTGCCTCTCCGCGACCCCCGCAGTCCACGCTCTGCCTCTCCGTGAGGCCCGCACACCCCGCTCTGCCTCTCCGCGACCCCCGCAGTCCACGCTCTGCCTCTCCGTGAGGCCCGCACACCCCGCTCTGCCTCTCCGCGACCCCCGCAGTCCACGCTCTGCCTCTCCGTGAGGCCCGCACACCCCGCTCTGCCTCTCCGCGACCCCCGCAGTCCACGCTCTGCCTCTCCGTGAGGCCCGCACACCCCGCTCTGCCTCTCCGCGACCCCCGCAGTCCACGCTCTGCCTCTCCGTGAGGCCCGCACACCCCGCTCTGCCTCTCCGCGACCCCCGCAGTCCACGCTCTGCCTCTCCGTGAGGCCCGCACACCCCGCTCTGCCTCTCCGCGACCCCCGCAGTCCACGCTCTGCCTCTCCGTGAGGCCCGCACACCCCGCTCTGCCTCTCCGCGACCCCCGCAGTCCACGCTCTGCCTCTCCGTGAGGCCCGCACACCCCGCTCTGCCTCTCCGCGACCCCCGCAGTCCACGCTCTGCCTCTCCGTGAGGCCCGCACACCCCGCTCTGCCTCTCCGCGACCCCCGCAGTCCACGCTCTGCCTCTCCGTGAGGCCCGCACACCCCGCTCTGCCTCTCCGCGACCCCCGCAGTCCACGCTCTGCCTCTCCGTGAGGCCCGCACACCCCGCTCTGCCTCTCCGCGACCCCCGCAGTCCACGCTCTGCCTCTCCGTGAGGCCCGCACACCCCGCTCTGCCTCTCCGCGACCCCCGCAGTCCACGCTCTGCCTCTCCGTGAGGCCCGCACACCCCGCTCTGCCTCTCCGCGACCCCCGCAGTCCACGCTCTGCCTCTCAGCGACCCCCACAGTCCACGCTCTGCCTCTCAGTGACCCCCACAGTCCACGCTCTGCCTCTCAATTACCCCACAGACCTCGCTCTGCCTCTCAATTACCCCACAGACCTCGCTCTGCCTCCCAGTGACCCTACAAACCCAGCTATGACTCCCAATGACCCCCAGAACCCTTGTTCTGATTCCCAGTGACTACGCAGACCTATTTTGCCCCTCCCACTCTAGGGAGTCCCCCTTTAAACCCAATCACCCCGCACTCTGCCCCTCCCTGACCTGACTCTCGCCCTGCAGAGTCCCCATCAGCTCTGGACCTGGACCCCCACCCAGCCAGTCACGACACTTACTCCGCAGCAGCGGCGAGGTCTCCTTCTTCACATACTTGCCCTGCACCTCGGAGGGTTTGGAAACTTCTTTCTTGGTCTTCTTCCTGGATAACATCCCCTCCTCTCCGGGCTCCGCTATACGGCGCGTCCCCTCATAGTATCCTCTCTACGGCTATACGGTGACATGCTCCCCCAACTACCACCGCCGGGCTCCCTCTGCCGGTCGCGCACTGCCCCCACCCTCCCGGATACGGCAGGAACGCGCGTCACGTGACCGGAGCTCCACAAACTTTTTTTTACCTTCAGCCTCAACAGGCGCTGACGTCACCGCCCCGCCCAGTGCCTTGTTGGACAGGCTGGTGGGGAGGGGCAAGGGAGGAGGCGTGGTGAGAGGCCGAGATCTCCGGCGTCCTGGTTGCCTGGCGACGAAGTGGGTGGAGCCGTGACTGCACTGTTACTGTGGCTGCACTGAATCGATCTGTGCCATTGTGTCTGTGGAGGTTCTCATTCATCCAGGTCATGGTATACAGTATCTGTAAAAAATAAGTCAAGGCAACTGGACTTGCTGTATTTTTCCTTGAAGACGTTTCACTGGTTATCCAACTAGCTTTCTCAATTCAGAATGAGTTTTTTTTGTACAAGTCATTCTGAATTGAGAAAGCTGGTTGGATAACCAGTGAAACGTCTTCAAGGAAAAATACAGCAAGTCAATTGCCTTTAGTATTTTTTACAGATATTGATCTGTGCCATTGTTCTATCAAAGGTTGTGACTGGGTTGGAATGTGTGACCGGTCACGTATTCACACATTTTAAATGTACACACACCCACTTTTTTGGCCGTGTAATATGTGACAGGGTGAAGAATTCCAATACTATGTCAGCTGTTCCAGGGCAGATCGTCATCGCAGATGGTATGTGCAGGAGAACCGATCTGCCCTGGAACAGCTGATTGGTCCTGAAATGTCACTTTGTGACTGCGATCTGACATTCCACAAAGTCGGATTTTCAGCTGTTCCAGGGCAGATCGGTTCTCCTGCACATACCATCTGTGATGACGATCTGCCCTGAACCAGCTGACAAAGCGTTGGAATTCTTCACCTTGTTCCTGTTCACACATTCCACCACCAAAAAAGTGGGAGCAATACCCAGCCTGTTATTGACTCTTTTAGATTGCAGTAGCCAATAACAAGCTGGCTATTGCACCCGCCCACTTCCTGCTGTCAATCAGCAGAGGAGGGACCTGAAGGAGAAAGTTCTCCATCAGGTCCTCGTTTGCTGATTGGCAGCATGCAGTGGGCGGGTGCAATAGCCAGCCTGTTATTGGCTACTGCAATCTAAAAGAGCCAATAACCAGCTGGGCATTGCTGCCAGCTGCTGTAATGGGGACGATCGCGGCTGACAGCAGGAGAGGAGCGCGGAGGGGTGAAACTGCAACCGAATTATTATTTGCCTGAATACACTTTTCCTATTTTCCGGAAAATAATAATTAGTTAATTTGGATTCTGATGAATAAGAATTTCACTTTTTTTTTAAGTTCTTCCGAATCCGAATGCTCATGTCTACTTAATACAGTTTTAGATGCGCAGATCCATGTTATAGAACATCCCAAAGTATTAAAATCATAATATTCAATTCATAAAAACGTGTGTGCAGTAAACGTCTCTTAACCACTTGCTGACCGGGGTGTTTACACCCCCTTCCTGGCCCGGCCATTTTTCAGTATTCAGCGCTGCAGTACTTTGACTGACATTTATTCCGGCATGCAACGCTGTACTGATACGAATTTTATACCATTTTTTGGGGACAGATAGAGCTTTCTTTTGGTGGTATTTAATCACCACTGGGGTTTTTTTTTTTTTTACTAAATAACAAAAAAAGTACCAAAAATTTTGAAAAAAACCTGTTCCCCTATGAAATGTTATGAAATATTTATTATCACCCCAATTTTTTTGGTAAAATATAAAAGACGGGGTCACGTCGGCTAAATAGACACCAAACATGTCAAGCCTTAAAATTGCGCGCGCCTGCGAAAATCGCAGAAAACTACGACATCCAAAATTGGCCATAAGCGACGCTTTAACCGCTCATCAGTTTAGTGTTATCAGTGATTGATGGCCCGAGAATTATTGCTCTCGCTGCGATGTTCGTGATGATATGTAACATGCGAGGCACAATAGGAGCATTCGTCGTTTTCGCACGTAGGCGCACCCCGACGCATGTTTGCGTATGTGGGGGGGGGGGGGGATTCTTTCATTTTTTTTTAAACGTGTTTTTGTTACACTTAACTTTACTGCTATCACATGGGGACCCCCAGAGAAGCTGATGAATCCATAAATATTTTTATTTGTAATTCTGAAAACATTTCTAATGTCAGAAAAAGAATGAAATTAAATCTTTGTTCTTCCAGTCACTGTACAAATTTGAGTACGGCAATGAAATATCGCTCTGGATTTATTGAGCTGCAATCGATGCATGAAAATATAACGCATGCATATAATGAATATCAAATACACATTTAGAATTAATTAAATTCTTCCTGGTAGCTGTAAGGACGTTATAAGGATTTAAGAATAAATGGCGGGTCATAATTGATAAGCGGACAACACAGCAGCCATCAACCAATCACAAGTACAATGTACTTTAGTGCTGCAACTGACGATTATTTTCATAATGGATTAGTTGGCCGATTATTTTTTCGATTAATCGGATAAAATAAAAAAAATGAAATACCAATTTTTATTTAGCATAAAATATACAAATGGAGTGTTAAAAACAAAGTTTGCTTCAGAATAAAACTGCATGCAAATTCTTTGCAATCGCACAACATTAGAATGCAGAATTCCAATGCGGGCGATCGCACTGTGAGCGGGAAGTGTGTTTGGGATGCCATTGAAATTAATGGCACCACAACGCACATCCCGCAGCAGAATTTTTCATGCTGAAAATGTTTCCACCTTTTTTATATTTATTTTAAATAATTGTATGTATATTAGACATTTTAGTTTCTTTCCATGGATTTAAAAACTCCAACCAATATAATAAAATAACCAAACTTTTATTTACAATAACACATCAAACATAAAATACAAAATATATACACACATATAAAGCCCGGTCATCAGTTTAGACTTAGCCATGAATATTGGCCTGAGAATTATTGCTCCCACTGTGGCGCACGTGGCGATAATCGTTGTTTTTGTACGTAGGTGCACCCGACTTGTGTTTTCATTAGTATGCGCGTGTTCGGGGGAATTCAACATTTTTTGGGGGTATTTTTAATTTAATTTAACTTTGTTTAACCAGTTGACATCCGCGGTGTTAAACCCCCTTCCCATCCAGACCATTTTTCAGTATTCAGCGCTGCGGTACTTTAACTGACATTTATTCCGTCATGCAGCGCTGTACTGAAATTAATTTTATACCCTTTTTTGGGGACAGATAGAGCTTTCTTTTGGTGGTATTTATTCACCACTGGGGTTTTATTTTTTACTATATTAAGGAAAAATTACCGAAATTAAAAAAAACAAAACAGTTTCCCCTATATTAAATGATAAAACATTTATTATTACCCAATTTTTTGGTAAAATATAAAAGATGGGGTCACATCGGGTAAAAAGACACCAAACATGTCAAGCCTTAAAATTGCGTGCGTGCGCGAAACCTCAAAATACGATAATACCCAAAATTGGCTATAGGCGACGCTTTAAAAGCTGTTACCGCTCATCAGTTTAGTGTTATCAGTGATTGATGGCCCTAAAATGATTGCTCTCACTGCGACGTTCGCGGCGATAAATGTCTGAAAAAACGAGCACATAGACGATCGGCGGGCTATGGAGCCGCCGATCATCTATATGTGAAACACCCGGTAACGGGTGTTTGCATTGGTCGGGTCTTTTCTGCCCGTGCGTGCCCGCCAGGGGGCGCGCGCGAGCAGAAAAAAAATGCCGTCTGGAGACGGCAACCCACCAATGCTGCAGTGCCGTCCGTCCGTTTTTTTACAACGGGTGGACGGCAAGTGGTTAAACTCCCTATGTATGTGATAGCACATTGGAGATGACAGGCTCTTTAAGGTGACATTGGGGGTCTATTAGACCCTTAGTGTCACCTTTCCACTACAACAGCTTTAGCTAGGGAATGACAGCTGTAAACACAGCAGACAGTGGCTGGTAGTAATAGCCACCCTGCTATTGGATATTTTAAATTGCAATAGCAGGCTGGCTTTTTCACCCGCCCACTGCCGGCTGTCATCAGCAGAGGGAAATAAAAGGAGAAAGTTCTTCTTCAGGTCCTCCTCTGCTGAATGACAGCAGGCAGTGGACTGGTGCAATAGCCAGCCTGCTATTGCAATTTAAAAAAAGCCAATAGCAAGCTGGCTATTGCTCCCAGCCGCTGGATGGGTACCCGCCGCTGGCTTTCTACCGCCGACAGAAGAGGGGGCATGGGGAGCAGCAGAGGCATGGGGGAAAGACAGAGGAACCAGGACACCAGTGGGGGACAGCAGCGGACAAACTGGGGGAATGCAAAGACACAGCAGTCTTTCGACCCTGCTGGTGTCGGCTGCAACAGTCTGTGTCCCCGCTGCCTCTGCCGACACAGGCAGGGAGAGCTGCGTGGATTGAAAGGGACACAGACCACAGCAGCTGGCACTGGGGAAGAGAACAGTGGAGCAGGGGGGTGCGTTGGGCGGCGGCTGAGCTGAATCAACTAATCGAAAATGAGAATCGATGACAACGATTCTCATTATCGATTTTATCAATTAGTTGTTGCAGCCCTAATGTACATACATTAAAAAATAAAGGCTGGCTTTTGGTTGTTGGGTATACCTGCTAGTGTTATGGGTCCAAACTAGTACTAACTGTCCTAAGTTAATGTTTGCCGTGTCAGACAGATACCTACTGCTGCATGTACACCCTAATAAACAACCTCTCTCAGTAGCCATCTTTTGGTTTGTTAAAGTAGAACTGAAGCCAAAAGTTTTTTTCCCCGTTTTGGATAAAGAAACGGAGGGTTATAACCCCCATCAGCCTTTTTGCGATCAGGTCCCATCGGGGGAAATTTCTCTTCACCTTCTGCCTGATATCAACAGGATGTGAAAAGAAATCTCTCCGGAGTGAAGGAATTCCCTGACGGTCATCAGGGTCAAGAGAACTAGTGTCCCCATCAGAAGATTTCCCGCCTATTCCTGTTCCGGTGACGACCCAAAATTTGGGAATATGGAATCCTGATTTTTAATCACAAAACCTAACAAATAATTACAAAATCCTCAATATAACTAGCAGTAAAAAGATACTACTTCTATTTTACTTAGCCAGAGGCAAATATATCACAGACATGCATGCTTTTAGGTGACAGAAATACTCTACAGGCGGACATACAGCGGTTAAAGGAAAACTCCAGGCAAATTCATAAAATAACATTCGTTCACATCACAAGCCATGAAATCATTTCTCAATTCTGACAGACCAGTTCGCTGAAATCCTTCTTTATATTCATTACCATATGTCGGTCCAAAACTGATATCAGGACTGCAGTGAAAGCTAATGGGTAGGAGATTCTTAGGAGAGATCAGGGTGCATGTCACCCAGGGCTGGGTCTAGGGGTAGGCAGAAGAGCATTGGGAGCATTAGCAGAAGGTGGCAAAAAAAGGGCTGGAGTTGCAACCTATGCTGCTGAAATAGTTCATAGCTTGGGGGGGGGGTGCACTTTGGCCTTTTTGCCTTGGGTGCTAAAGGACCGGTGTTGTGTCACCAGTGTGATGATGTTCAGCAGTGGTCCAAGAAGCAGAACATGGGGACAGAAACTCTCAAAGAGGATAGGCATTGCTGTGCAACTCCTACCACTACGAAAACAGATTCTATATATGTATTTCAGAGGCGCATTTGCCTGCTTGGCTCGATCTGCCCATTAAAATCGATGAATATTTAATATATTCCGATACGCGCCCACATTAAAATGTATTTTTAACTTGCGGATTATAAGTGGTTAGAATAAAAGCTTGCTTGTTCCATTAAATACGAAAGTCAGTGTAAAAGGCTGGCTTGCTATCACCCAATACAGGAAATGGTATTTTGGCAGGACGCCCTTCTACAGCGATCTGTCCATTATGTGTTATATCCTGGGCTGCTAGGAGCACTTAGCGGCCGGTAACCATAATGAAGTGGGAGATATAAGGCCGTGACAGGAGAGGATGCTCGGAAGGGAAGAGCTAAAGAACGCAGACTATTCTGCATGATCCGGTGGACGGCTGTCCATCATGACTGGGCGTCCCCGTTTAGTGCTTCCAGTCTCCACAGCAGGGCGTTGCCGAAGGCCTCACGGTACGCAGGGCTCAGGGAATCCAGCAGAGAGTAAACAGTTTCATGGTATTGGCTGCGGCTTCCTGGGTTAACCTGGTCGAAAGCAAACCCGACCACCTGTTTGGTGTGAAAGCAGAGAGAAAAATTGTAAAACTGCGTGAATCCTAATTCTAAGCACACAGGTGAAAACATGAATAAAACTTAAAGCCGGCCACACACCTATAGATTATCTGCAGATTTTCTATCGTCAGATTCCTCCATCTACGCTAAACTGTGTGGACGGAGGAATCTCCCGCTGGGCCAAGCTTCAGTATCTTGCTACTCGACCCCGCTGGCTCTCAAAATACCGGAACAATCTGATTGGATGCCGGCATTATTCAGGTGTTTTGAGAGCCAGCGGGGCCGACTAGCAAGATACTGAAGCTTGGCCCAGCGGGAGATTCCTCCATCCGCACAGTTTAGTGTAGATGGAGGAATCTGTAACCCATTAATAAATCCTTTGCTGCCCCATATACGCCATTTCATTCTGTTTCAATAATTTTCTGTTGTAGTTTCTGAGCAGAGCCAGGAATCAGTATGACAGTTCAGAGTGCGAGTTATTGGTTACATTCCAACACATCTGCTTATATAGTAAATACCTTTAGTGCTAGCATGGAGTCGGCTTCCCAGGCTATCAGGAAGCGGGTAATGGCTGGGTAATGCCATCACTCGCCGCCCGGCTAATTAATGGCCCAGAAGCCAGCTCCATGCTGTTCGGCCAGGAAGCCGGCTTCCCAGCCCATCAGCAAGGAGCCGGCTTCCCAGCCCATCAGCAAGGAGCCGGCTTCCCAGCCCATCAGCAAGGAGCCGGATTCCCAGCCCATCAGCAAGGAGCCGGATTCCCAGAAGGAGCCGGCTTCCCAGCCCATCAGCAAGGAGCCGGATTCCCAGCCCATCAGCAAGGAGCCGGATTCCCAGCCCATCAGCAAGGGGCCGGATTCCCAGCCCATCAGCAAGGGGTCGGCTTCCCAGCCCATCAGCAAGGGGTCGGCTTCCCAGCCCATCAGCAAGGATTCGGCTTCCCAGCCCATCAGCAAGGAGTCGGCTTCCCAGCCCATCAGCAAAGAGTCGGCTTCCCAGCCCATCAGCAAGCCAGGATGCGGGTCATTGCCCACTGCCCGGATTTCCGATTGGCCGGGAAGCCAGCACCATGCGGATTGGCCGGATCAATGCTGATTGCCTGGGAAGCCGGCTTCCCAACCAATCAGCATGGAGCTGGCTTCCTGGCCAATCAGGGAGCTGGGCGGTGAGCCATTGCCTGCCGCCCAGCTTCCTGATTGACTGGGAAGCTGGCTCCAAGTTCCCTCGCGGCACTGCGGCAGAGGGAGATTTCCTCTGACCGGAAGTTTCCGTATTGGGGAACGTATTGGAGCACTTGGGAGGGTCTGAGTAACGGCACCAATGCTAGTATTGGTATCAGTGCATCCCTACTTGAAGGATAAGTGCATATCACACTGCTCACTGTATGTGGCTGATTCACTGCCTACAATGCCAGATTTTCATTAAAGGATTAGTTCTATACAGCACAGGCCCTCAGGACGGGAATGGAAGCATGTGTTCATCACAAAAAAACTCAAGGAAACAGAAATCTGCAACTCCCTTTAGCTGAGCAGGTTTCCTGACACTATGACCGATCAGTTATGAGCAAGCTTTTAGAATCACATAGTCATCTTACTTTAAAGAGGAGCTCTACGCTGGCTGGGCCTTCTGTGACACCTCTCATTGCACAGAGGAAAAAGAAAGCAGTAAAGTCTAAATTTGAAAACCTGACTCCTCTAACTTTTACAAGTTCTCTGATCCTTTGACGTGTATGTCAAAGCAAAAAATAAAAAACATATTTAGTACATCTCTGGAATACATCTACATTTCTCCATGTATGATCACTTTAAACATGCTGCAAGTACAGAACAATAACTGCTGATGTGCTAGAGTAGTGTGCTCTCACCTTCCTCTTTGACATGACAACACAGCTCTGAATTCCTAAGCAAAAGGTGTCAGCCCTGCCTACTTCACTTTTGATGGATTACAAAGACAGAGACCTGTCCTCCCTCCCTCTTCACCTCTATAGCACCTCTTCATCTCCATAACCTCTCCACATCTCCTCCCCATCTCATAACCTCCCACCCTCCATCATTTCCATAGCCTGTATTCATCTCCATAACCCCTCCTCCTCATCATCTCCATAACCTCCCCTCACCCCCCAAGAAAGTCTCTTGGACAGAAAATATAAAAGGTGAGAGACAGTTACCCTGAGACCGGCATCCGTGAGTTCCAGGCAGTATCTGGTCCCCTCCTTAATCTCCACGTTGATGTACGCCATGTCCACCGTGCAGGGCAAGTTTTTAGAGACAAACATGTTGGCGACGGCAAACAGGACATCGTTCACGATGGCTTCAGCTTCCAGCCTCATGTCTTTCACATCCGCCCCGTCCGTGTCTCTGTCTGAATCTGGATCGTGGACAACATTAATGGGCAAGTCTATGGGGTTGTAATCAACTTCCATCTTCTGGGGGGAAACAAAGCCGTTACAATGACCAGGAAGGTTATATAAAGAGAACATCTATAAAGCTTCCCCAAACCAAGCACATGATCGATAAGGCAGCAGAGGGTGTGTACATGGTGCAGGATGCCCTGAAAGGGAGGCTGGACTCCAGGCAGATATGAAAGACACACATGAATGCAGCTCTGTAATCATATGAATATGACCTGGTACCCCCGCCTCCTGTACAGCAGGGCTGGAGTGTGGGATGAAAAAGCAGCACAATGATATGTTTCATGCAAGCAGTGTAAGTACATGAGTCTGACCTTGTATCAACCTCCTGCAGTCCTTGTTCAGGAGAGCTCAGAGCACCCCAAGAAGCTTGTAGGGCAAAGAGCAGACTGATAGGAGGAGACAGTAGAGTGATAAAGAGATGAGCTCATCACTGTGCTGCTTTTCCTTTCACTGTCCAGTCCCAAGCTGGAGGAGAAGGACAAGACCTGCAAGAATTAGTGAACTGCAGCAAAGAAAAATCAGGTCCCCTGGTTCTTCCAGACAGGACTGTGCTGTGTGGCAGAGCTGCACAAATCTCAGGACTGCTTCCGTGTATTTAGCTGTTTGCATGGAGTTCAGCTGTACTCATCCCCCAACTCATTTGCAGGCCTATTTGGCTTATTTGGCCAGTATTGAGATCCAGGGACATTCCTAAGCCAAATCCTCGTCCCCTGAAATGAGGCACAGAGTTCAGCCATGCACTCCCAGGTCTATGCCATGGTCCTGTGTCAGAGTCCAGGCTAGTACAACTTCCCTCACCCCAAAGCAAATCTGCCTTCTCATAATTACCTTCCACATTTCAGGCGCACACGGCAAATTTCCAGAAACTCAGAGCACTTCCGGCATCAACATTGCCATTTCCTCTGACGTCACTTCCTCAAAAATCCTCTTGCTACCAAGTGTCTCCGCACTTCTTGCTGAAGTTATTGCGCAGCCGCCATTTTTTTGTTGATCACACCTATTAGCAGAGCGCAGCTTGGACTCCAATAAGATGGCTCCTAGAGCGGAGACATAACTTCCTCACTGTAGGGTTCTGTGTAATGACCGTGCAGGTGTTGTCTGTCTATTGCTGCACTTGTTCAGTAGACATACAGTAGACCTCATATACGGCGGACATTCTTTATAAATGTGTACTCTATGGCGGTGTGTCCGCGTTGCGTTGATGAGGCGAAACATGGACATAAAGCTATGTTTACGCCTCGGCTATTGGCTGTTGCCAGAAACAAAGATGGCGCCACACGTTAGCTAAGCTGCTTCCGTGTGAGGAACGTGACGTCATTGTTTATGTCCAGAGAGCGCAGCGAGCTGAGCCGGGGGTGTAGGGGGACCGGGGGTTCGGTTGACTGTGGCTTAGGAAGGCCACATGCGGGTCTGGAGAGCTGGGGAAGATTTCGAGGCTGGACTGTGTGCACAGGCCCTGACTGCAGCCTGACAGCCCCTTACTCTGTGTGTGTCTGCCATGGCAATGTCTGCCTGAGTGTGTGATTGTGTCGGTGCTGTGTGATTGTGGGCTGGTGACGCATTGTGTGCCTTTTGTGTGTGTGATTGTGTCTCTATCTGCTTGTGCATTTGCTTGCATCACTCTCTTCTTGTTTGTGAGATTGTGTCTCTGTCTGCTGTGTTGTGTTATTGTCACCATCAGATATATTTTGTGTTACTGCTTTTGTGTGTGATTTTGCCATTGTCTACTTGTGTGTGCCTTTTGTGTGTCTGAGGTACTGCTTGTGTGTGTGTGACAAGTCACTGTTTGCCCTTTGGGAGGTCGCCTCTGTATGTGGCGGTGATATTACAGACTGCTGAACGTGGCTGTGTGATTCTTGGTGCACCTGCTGTCTGCAGACTCGTCGGTGACTTGCTGTGTGTTGTTGAGTTGTGTGCATTTGACTCCCTGTGTGTCTTTTCCTATTGGTTCAGAGCCGGTGAGTCATACTGCCTACCAAGTACGATTTGCCCTTTGTGTCACATGTATGTATCTTTTTATCCTTGGTGGATATTAGGTGGGTGATTGCCTTACTGTTGTGTCATTCTGTGATGTCCCTGTGTGACATCCCCTGTTGTGGTTTGACCTTTTCCCGCATATAATTGTCTTTTTTTTTTCCTGCTTGTAGGTGTAGTGTGTATTTTACTTTTGTGTTATTGTATTGCAAGTGTGCCGTGTCACTGGTGTCAGTAACAATTTTTCAGCATGTGAAGCTTTATTATCTGCCCATATCAGAGACAACACACTCCATATCCTGTGTCACAAAACAGAGCAAGGTGTGATTGATATGCAGTAGTTTTTGTGGTAGCGTGTGCTCATCTGAATACCCCAAAAGCCAATGTGTGTCTGCCTTTTGAGCAATTTGTGATTGACTGTTACTACCCAGTTGCGTAAACGAGCCCCTGAATACAACTACTACTTTAATTGTGTCTCTTTCTGCCTCTGTGTGTGATTGTGTCTCTTTCTGCCCCTGTGTGATTGTGTCAATCAACTTTCAATGCATGAGAGACTGCTGACTGCACTGAGCAACTGTCAGTCTGGCATTGATGATATCTCCATGCTTTCCTGTACTTAGTGTGTGTGGCTGTAACAATTTGAGATTGGGTATATGAGAATGATTTTTTGCGACAGACTACCCATCTGTACCCTCAACATTGACTGACAATGTGATTGCCATTTTGTGTTCTCGCAAGATTGAATTTTGGACTCCTGACTGACAGACTGGCTTTGTAGCTTTATTGTTGGGGCTCCAGAAGCCCTAATTTCCCCACGACCATGCCGTGGCCCTTCTCGGAGTCCATCAAGAAGCGTGCCTGCCGTTACCTCCTGCAGAGATATCTGGGTCACTTCCTGCAGGAGAAGCTTAGCCTGGAGCAGTTGACTCTAGATTTGTACCAGGGCACCGGCTCCTTGTCACAAGTTCCGCTCGATAAATGGGTAGGTCTGCTGATGGTTTCATATTTAAATGGTAACTCCACTTGTAGCCCCGGCCAGGAGTGAATGTGATAGGGTGAGAGTCCAGGAGAAGAATGGGGAGACATCCACTTGTAGCCTCGGCCAGGAGTGAATGTGATAGGGGGAGAGTCCAGGAGAAGAATGGGGAGACATCCACTTGTAGCCTCGGCCAGGAGTGAATGTGATAGGGTGAGAGTCCAGGAGAAGAATGGGGAGACATTCACTTCTAGCCTCGGCCAGGAGTGAATGTCCCGGAGAAGAATGGGGAGACATCCACTTGTAGCCTCGGCCAGGAGTGAATGTCCCGGAGAAGAATGGGGAGACATCCACTTGTAGCCTCGGGCCAGGAGTGAATGTGATAGGGGGAGAGTCCAGGAGAAGAATGGGGAGACATCCACTTGTAGCCTCGGCCAGGAGTGAATGTGACAGTCCCGGAGAACAATCGGAAGACATCCACTTGTAGCCTCGGGCCAGGAGTGAATGTGATAGGGTGAGAGCCCAGGAAAACAATGGGAAGACGTCCACTTGTAGCTTCGGGCCAGGAGTGAATGTGAGAGTCCAGGAGAACAATGGAGGGGCATCCACTTGTAGCCTCAGCCAGGAGTAAATGTGAGAGTCCAGGAGAACAATGGGGGGCAGCCACTTGTAGCCTTGGGCCAGGAGTGGATGTGACAGGGTGAGAGCCCAGGAGAAAAATGGGGAGACATCCACTTGTAGCCTCAGCCAGGAGTAAATGTGAGAGTCCAGGAGAACAATGGGGGGACATCCACTTGTAGCCTCGGGCCAGGAGTGAATGTGACAGGGTGAGAGTCCAGGAGAACAATGGGGAGACATCCACTTGTAGCCTCGGGCCAGGAGTGAATGTGACAGGGTGAGAGCCCAGGAGAACAATGGGGAGACATCCACTTGTAGCCTCGGGCCAGGAGTGAATGTGACAGGGTGAGAGTCTAGGAGAACAATGGGGAGACTTGTAGCCTCTGCCAGAAGTGGATGTGACTGCTCTCCTCATTTGTCTGTTAAAACTCTTAGGAAAGCCTGGTTAGTTGTGTTGTGTGCATTGCTGGGTCCATAGACACGCTGGCCTAATCATGCTACTGCTGTGGCTATCCTTTAGAGCAGAATCAACTTTCTTCACACAGGGCAGGAGTAGGCAAACTCTGGCCCTTCAGCTATAGTGAGACGACCAATCCCATCATGCATCTGCTTCTGGGAGTCATGCTGGTGGCTGTCATTCTTGCAATGCTTCATGAGACTTGTAGTTTAAACGCAGATGGAAGGCTTGAGTTTGCCCACCCCTAACATAGGGTCTCTCAATAACTGGGAAAGAAGCCAGGTTATTTCATGGAGAGACACTGGGGGGAATTTATCAAATAATCTCAAGCAGTTGTTCATGACAACCAATTAGCTTCACTCTTCAGTTTGTTCAGTTCAGCTTTAAAAAAGAAAGAGGGAAGCTGATTAGTTGCTGTGCACAGTTCCTCACTCAGCAATGAGGTGATCTGCAAATGGATTTGTGCGGAGCCTCCCACACTCTCACCACAAGCTGGCTGATCATTTTTAGAAACCTAATGTATCTGCAGGTGGGGGGAATGCCAGACTAGGTAGGACGGAGGAGTTTACAGGACTTGCACTAAAATCTTCAAGATAAGTTCCCGGCGGAGCTCGTCTAATGTTCCCAGTGTTGTCTCTTTGTGAAGTTCCAGCTCTTTGATTAGCTGCATTTGTTGTTGACTGTTAAAAGTAATTGTTACCAGGAACATACAAGTCACCGCTCAGTTTTTGAGATGCGTGTCCTAATTTTCTGTTCATGTTTTCTGTCCGCAGAGTCTTAATGAGATACTGGAGTCAGCAGATGCTCCCCTGGAGGTGACGGAGGGCTTCATACAGACCATCTCTCTGTCTGTCCCCTGGGGCTCCTTACTGCAGGATAACTGTGCACTGGAGGTGAAAGGCCTAGAGATGGTGTTCAGGCCAAGACCTCGGCCACGTATGTAACATACATTCACCCATGCTGAATTCACTCAGCTGCTTGTATTTTACCCCCCTCCACCTCATCAACATGCCACTGTTTTCATTACGTGCCTTATTACAGACCTAGTGATGTCATCACTGGGTCTCTGTGGCATGCAGGCAGATCATGGCTGGTGGGAGGGGCCGGCAGGGTGCTGTAATGTTCTCAGGAAGCTATAATACAGCACCCTACCGTCACCTCGCACCAGCCATGATCTGCCTGCATTGCATAGAAAAGCTGGTTGGTGGTAGGGGCCAGCAGGGTGCTATGTTATATCTTCCTGAGAACATCACAGCACCCCGCCTTATTAATCTTTTCAAGAGCCCACAGCCCTAATGAAAGCAGTGGACTCTTTCTTGGGAGGAGTTATGCAAATATCAGAATGCCTTGATGGGCAGTTGTCAGTGTAGAGTTGTGGGCATTCCTAGGTATGCTACATCTGCAAGCAAACTACCCTAGATAATGCCCACATGTGATGCTGAGCCTCCATGATTGAACAAACTGAAATTCAGTGAATGAAAGGGGCGGGTCAGGGACCGTCAGGCTGGGGAGGAAAGTGCAAGATGATGCTGGACGGGCGGGCTCTACCTGACTTGCTTCAGCTTCCAGTGCACATTGTGAGAAGCTCAAAGCACTACACGTAGAACAGCTATTCTCATATAGAGTGCAGCATACTGCAAGGAGAGGGCATTTCTACTGAGGCTGGGTGTTGATTTACCCCCCATAAAAAGTGGGAACTTGCTGTACCCTCATTTCATTATTAGCATTTGGCCCTTAATCTTCAGTTGTGCTTTACGTGGGTGGACACATCTTTGAAGGTCATTATTCTTGGTTATTCATTTATTTTATCAATGTGTGTCTTGCAGGTTCTGCTTCTGAGCCGATGTATTGGTCAAGCTTCATGACCAGCAGTATGCAGCTGGCCCGGGAGTGTCTGAGTCAGAAGCTGACCGATGAACAGGAGTCCTCACAGCCCTTTGAGGGGCTAGAGAAGTTTGCAGAGACTATAGAAACCGGTGAGACTGCTGGATTCCTATTATGTGTCCACTGCACTCCTATCACTTCCTTGCATCTCCCGGCCTGCTGGAGATTTCATAGGGAAATTATATTGGTTTTTCCTCTGCTTTATTTTAGTTGTTTTAAAGCGGACCTTTACACTCACAAATCAAATTCTAGCAATGCCTCCCTCTATGTATGATGATGAATATTAACATAGACATGTCAGGTGTAAAATGCTGTGATTGTGAAATACTTACACTTGCAGAGCATTCACTTCCTGCTATGAAAGTGCAAATGGCTTCACTTTGCCAAAGCAATGCACCCTGGGATTGCCTTGTCATCAGCAGAGCATTGCTGGGAAATCTCATCTGTAATCTCAGGAGATCTCAGGGAAAGGCATTTTCCTCCCCTGAGATGATGTGCATGGTCACATGTCCTAGTCCCATGTGCCAGAAATCCAGGAAGTAATAGGAGAGCTAGTAATCTGCTCTCAGTAAACATGACCACTGCCAGAAGACTGGGAAAGGAAATGGATACAGAAGATAAAGAAGAACACATACTGGAGTTGTTGGTGATAATGCAATCAAAGCTTACTTGAGAAAATCCCTTTTATGTAGTGAGCGCTGCCTTCCGTCTGCCCATCACTTTCCACAACTTCCTGGATTCCCAGTGTGCTTTGCGTCTCTTTCCCTGCTGCTTGACGTGATGCAATCTGCATTTATTAAGAATACTTATCCCATCATACATTGCTTGCAGCAAGCAATGATGATGATACATTGTAGTTCAGAAGGCGGAGTTAGTTAAAGCGGTGCTACAAGGAAGTGAATATTCACAGGGCTGAGTGAAATTGTGTCAGTTCATTGAGGAAGTCCATACTATGGGCGTCTTCAATAAGTACGTTTTTACAAGCTTCGAGGTGGAAATGGTTGGTAGGAGTGGGAAGGAACTTATAGAAACTCAATATAGAATCTATGTATACATGGAGCATTTAATGCTGTGCTCCTCCTGTCCACAATTTGCAGTAACTCTGTCCCTCTTTGCTCCATATCCCTCACTATGCCTGGCTCCTTCATGAATATGGTGTGATCCTGCTCCCTGATCAGTTACTATACAATTCAAGACACTAAGGTTAGGAGGGCCCGGCTCCTGATAGCTTAAAATATGAAAGGGAGTACAGGTCAAGCTAGGACCCCTTGACCTCTCTGCTGGGACCGATGGACAGTTTGGCCCTACCTATGTCCACTCAATTGTTTATCGCATATGCTTTCTTCTGTGCAAGAAAGGCAATACTGCTTAAGTGGAAGCTTTCTGATTGGGGCAAATGTGTGCATGATGTTGGAGTCTGGCTTTAATGTATGTTCTTTCTATGTTGCAGTGCTGAGACGTGTCAGAGTGACGTTTATTGACACCGTGTTGAGAATAGAACATATACCTGACAACTCTAAAACAGGAACTGCCCTTGAAATACGAATCAGCAGGTAAGAGTGGCCGAGTATAATCCCACAGACATATGTAATGAGTGTGCAGAACCCTGTGTTACAGTTCACACCAAAATATTGTGTTGTATTTAGGTAAAGCTATACCCTATCTAAAGCACTGCTGTTTCTTTTTGTTGTATCTCTGTGCTGCTGATCTGCTTCAGACTTTTTACAGACACAAAAAATTGCTGGGCGGAGTTTGTTGCTGGAAGTCACTGTCTTTTCTGCCTGAAAACCTCTTCCCGTTCTGGTAGCAGTGTTGTTTTTATGTGTTGATTACCTACATTACATGCACACTCTCAGCCCAATCTGGGATGCAGAGAAACCCCCCCCCCCCCATTTAACGCCTATTATCCTGGGTGCTGGGTGATTTAAGTTCAGAGCAGAGGCATCAGTGGCCACCCAAAGGTTGAAGAGAGAAGGCATTGGACGCAAAGTTGGCAGCATCGGCATTTCTGTAGGTTTGCTTGCCATAACGTGCAACTTTTGCTTTGTACATTATAGTGAGTGCTCCTGTGGACCCGCCAGCCACACTTGAAGATTAAAGTGGAGTTCCAGTTACAATATTCTCTATTTTAATTTCCAAGTTCTATACATACTTTCCATGCTCCAGTGCCGTCTCCCGCTTCCTCCTCGGTCCAGTATCGGTAGTCCTCTTTGGGTAGAACGCCGGTCGCGATGTCCCCAACTTCCTTCTTGGTCCAGCACTGGCTGTACCCTTCAGGCAGAACAGCAGTCATGTCATTCTGCCCATTTCCTGGGTGCCAAGCCTGCTGTTTTCCTGCCTCCTAGGGAGGTGTCACCAATCAGACTGGGCTCACGGTACTCCAGGACTGAGTGGTGTAGATGAGAGGTCTGGTTAGTTGAATACCGTATAACAAAGTTTACTGTATACGGTTTAAAAAACAAAAAACAGGTGGGGGGAACTGGGTTGTGGGTTGAATGCCCATCTGAGTTTTGCTTTAATGAGGTCCCACTGATGCTATCTTGCAGAACAATGTATTCTGATGAAACAGTGGATGAGCAGTCGGGAATTAATGTGCACAGACCGTCAGCATTCGCTCACAAAGTCCTGGAACTGAGCGGCGTTTCCTTCTTCTGGGATGAATTCTCAGCATCTGCAAAAACCTCTCCTGTTTGTTCAACTTCAAAAGTGGTAATTGAATACAAACTTTCGTATAACAATTATCGTATATTAATGACTCCATTGTGATAGATAGATAGATAGATGGATAGATCCAAACTCTATCCAAACATACAAAGGAAAAAAAGTTTGTGCTTTAGATGCATGTTAAAGCTGAGATTGAATCTGTTTTATATTTTGCATTTGCTGGTTCTTTCTTTCCCCTCTCATCAACAAAATTTTAAATGAGTCTCTGTGCTTTTTTTATGCAATGCAGGCAGATCAGTGGCTGGTGGCAGGGGCTCAGCACACCTCAAGAGCCCTAAGTCCTATTGGAAGCAGTGGACTGACTCTTTGGAATAGTTATGCACATATAAAAATGCCTTGATTGGTGGGTGTCATTCTGGCGGAGTGGGCTTTCCTGGGGCAGACTGCATTTGCATGTAAACCATTGCCCTAGTTAAACCCCACATGTGAAATTGAGCCTCCTTAATTGAAAGAACTGAAATCCAATAATTGAAAGGGCTGGGCCTGGGACAATAAGGCTGGGGAGAAAGCACTAAATGATGCTGGGCATCAGGAAATGAGGCAGGCTTTATCTAACTTGCAGCAGCTTCTTATGCACACTGTGAAAAGTTCCTCCTTGTGCAATGATATAAGAGCAAGCAATTTCAGTACATAAGAGAAGCCTGTACAATTGTGCAAAACGGAGGGTAGGGCTGGAGTTTAGCTTTAAAGCCTAGAGTTAAGATTTCTGCTCAGCTTTCCTTCTGTCCGTGAAACTATTAATGCGATCTCCCTTCATTTCCTATCCTGTACCCACAAGAACGTACAGCAAATCTTTCCAAATTGAGGGGTATTCCTCTCTGAGTCTGCTGTCGCCAGAACAAGTATCCCCTTTGGAAGAATCCCTCTCTATTCCTGTTCTGGTGACAACAAATGTTGGATTTCCCTTCACCTTTCCTGGTGACCACATATCTAGTTGGTGAACCCCCCTAGCTTTTACACAGACAGCATTATGTAAATGGATTCATTTAAAACAAAAAAGGGTTAAGTGGTTTCTGAATGGTTTTGCAGATGTCCTTTATAAGTTCAGGCTCACGTCTATGACCATGCAGTTCCCAGACTTGGTGCATGTTATGATCTGTTTTGCTTTTATTTTTTGATTCCAGGAAACTGAGCCCAAACTGTCTCCCAGCTGGAATCCGAAGCCTGTCTTTGAGCCGCACCCCCAGTTCACCAGAAGTATAACTGAGGTCACCCCCTCTGACCCTGTGCAGATTGCTTCTCTGGTGGGCAGTATTGAGCTGGGCCTAATTCTGAAACAGAATGAAGTGCTTCCTGGGGCAAAGGTCAGTTTATGTCATGTATATATGTTTACACTCCTTACTTGGTGTGTCCTGCCCATGTATTGATGGCCTTTGATACTTGGGCACAGACCTAGGGCAGAGGTAGGCAACCTCAGTCTAGCTGTTGGTCCCTTGAGGCAAAGCTTGCTCCATGGGTCCCAAAGCTTCGTACGCGACTCCCCAAGTCCCATAGCTTCATACACGACTCCCCAAGTCCCATGGGTCCCAAAGCTTCATACGTGACTCCCAGAGACAAAGGCATGATGGTATGCGTACTTTCACCACAGCTGGAGTGCCTAGGTTGCCTTCACCAGAGCTAGGGCTTTTGGGGCTTCGGAAATGCTCCTTATTGCACATGCAGGTTTTCCAGCTGAACCTTCCTTTCTTGGGGAGTGCTGGTGACATTTGCATTTGATTCTATATTTTAAGCGGCGCCATCCGCAGTCATTACAAGCACCCGTTATTCTTGGGATATCCGGTAAGGAGTGCGGCAAGGTATATGGACTGTATATCCTATTTACATTAGACGCCAGCCTCTATAGGCATAAAATAATACTGACTCTGTGATGTCTGAAGGTTCTCATTCATCCAGGTCATGGTATATCTGTAAAACATAAATCAAGGCAACTGGACTTGCTGTGTTTTTTCTTGAAGATGTTTCACTGGTCTTCTGACCAGCTTTCTCAATTTGAGAACAGTAAGCAGCTTTTCAGTGAAGGAAGTAGAGATCCACAGATTGAATTAAGCAAACACAGGGGGATCCTTACAGCGCTGGTCTCTAGGTACAGCTTCCGTGTCAGCAAGGAGAACAGCGAGCAGCGCAGCAGTAAAGGAAGCATAGATCCACAGAATGGATGAAACAGAAGCAGGGAGATTCTTACCATATTGGTCCTCAGGTACAGCTTTCTCACCAGTGTGCAGCACAGGAGGGACATTACAAAATCTCATCCCAAATCCCCTGAGACTAGCAGACAGAAGCAGCATTGCCTTAGATGATCTCGCACTTCAGATGTATAGCTATGCACCTGTGGGTTCCGGAAGTGCACTGATATTTTTGAGGAGGAATTCAGGGCAAAAGGTAAATCTTTGAGGGTACTGCTTAGGCATAGTTAACATTTGTAGATGTTTCCTATAACATAGCAAACCTTTTAAAAATCAGGCCAACTTCAAGTAGTTCCATTTAAAAAACAACGTCCTGCTTTCCTTAGACATATTTATTCGGCTTAAAGGTGAATTACAAAATAGATCCAAGCTAGTGCCAACCACTACTAATCAGATTTGTCATACCTTGTGATGAACTGATCGGGTGACGTAGCTTCATTTTTGTCTGTTTATGCCATTGATCCAGTTTGGAAGCTGCCATTGCTGACACCTGCTTCTGACAATGCTGCTGTGAACATCTGAACGTTGTGGGTTGATTGGGAATGATTTGGGCTATAAGTAACTCCTTTACTGTTTGTTTCATTTAGCTGGATGTGGATGGACGTGTCGACTCTTTCCACGTCTTCCTCTCTCCCCGGCAAGTTCACCTATTGCTGGATATGTTGTCGGCCATTGCTGGACCAGGTAATAAAGTCTTCTCAGTTGTCAGCACTTCAAATCATTCATCATGTTTTCTGGTAGATCTGTGTTACACATAAAAACCTGACTGTTTGTGGCATTATCTATTATGCACGGGGTTGAAAATGAAAGGGGCTCTCTGTTTGCAGTGGGCAACTTTGCAACTTTTTCTTTCAGATTACATTTTTACAATTGAATTGTACTCACCCAAATGCTCCCATACTTGCCTCCAAAAACGGAATTTCCTGTCAGAGGAATATTTCCTCTGACCGGCAGTGCCGTAAGGAAACATGGAGCCGGCTTTCTCAGCCAATCGGCATTTGGCCGGCCAAACAGCATGGAGTTGGCTTACTAGTCAATCGGGAAGACGGCTTCCTGGCTCATTAGCATTGATCAGACCAAACAGCATGGAGCTGGCTTCCCGGCTAATCAGGAAGCTGGGCGGCGGGTAATGGCTTCCTGATTGGCCAGGAATCTGGCTCCATGCTCTCAGAAGAGCATCTATCTATCTATCTATCTATCTATCTATCTATCTATCTATCTATATTCCTAGAGTTTAGCTTTACTATACATAACCTGCGGTCTTTAATTATTTGAAAATATTAATATCATTGCCGAAAACTCCCAGGCTGGGGCTGAAGATTTATATTAGTGCTTCAAGAAAGCTGCTCAAAGCCTATGTCTGTGAAGGTTCTCATCCATCCAGGTTAAGGTATACGTGTAAAATATATTCTAAATTTAAGAAAGCTGGTCCGATGACCAGCGGAACATCTTCAAGAGAAATACAGCAAGTCCAGTTGCCTTGATTTATTTTTTACAGATCTGCTTAAACTTTCTAAATGCCTGCAGTACACACTGAGGGGAATTTATCAAAACTGGAGCAGACAAAATCTGGAGCAGCTGTGCATGGCAACCAATCAGCTTCTCTCTTTCATTTTCAAATCTTAACTGAACAAACTGAAGAGAGAAGCTGATTGGTTGCCATGCAAAGCTGCTCCAGATTTTGCCTGCTCCAGTTTTCATAAATTCCCCTCACTGTACTTAGACTAGAAATTACAAGTTGAAGTTCATGTGAGCAAGGCTTAAGTTATTGCTTGCAGGTGTTTATAGCAGTCTAGTTAAACTACAAAAAATTGCTTGTGAAGTTTTGTGATTTATAACAATGACTGGCGTTGGTGACTGTACATACCAGTAAGTAGAAGGGGTTTGTGTTTTGTTTCTGCTTATCAGCTGTAAAAGTTTCTAGTGAGCACAGGAAGGCAAGTCTCTAATTGCCTCTAATATATGGCATGCCAGGCTGAACTTGTCCACCCACTACTGTAAAGAAGAACTCTGGATAAAGAAAAAAAACTGACCCTTGTAGGGGTAGCCACTCCCGCACTGCAAGGGTTAAGTGCACATTTTGTCTCAGGGGCTTAAATAAAGCTGTGCTCCTCACCTGATCCTTGGTGCTGTGTGCGGTCAGCTCTCACCTCTGCCCCACTCCGCTCCAGCTGTGAAATGTCCTTAGATGGCCAGAGCCCAGGGGAGAAGTGGCTGAGGGGACCGGAATCCCAGCCTGGAGGGGGCTGCTGGGACAGAGGTTCAGGTGAGTAGCACAGCTTTATTTGCACCCCTTAGACAAAATGAGCACTTAACCCTTGCAATGCGGGAGTAGCTGCACTGCAAGGGTAAGTTTTTGTTTGCGCAGCGTTCTCCTTTAAGGAATCAAAATGAGCTAATAAAAGATGCAATCAGTGGAAATGGTATTTTAACATTCTAATAATATTAATAACAAATCTTAAAACTGTTGCAGAATCCTCCAGCAGGATAGGAATGTCCAGCAAAGATCGGAAGAGCCGTCCCATGCAGCAAGAAGATGAGCTTCGCCTCCAGATGGAACTCAAGCGCTACTTAAAAAGAGAAGCGATGTCTGGAGGACCGTCTGCTGAGCACAGCTTCTATGAGACGGACACAGCAAAAACCCCTTCCAGCCATGGTAAGGACCTAAGGCTTATATAATCATCTATAGCAATGGTCAGGGTACAGTAACCTATAGGAACCAATCCTCTTTCATTGTTCTGGATGATGGAAGATGTCCGTTTTTTGCTGTAGATTACTGAAAGCCCAACTCCAGCCACAGTGCTAGAACTGTGTGCGTGTGTATGTATGATATATATATATATATACATATATAAAATCTATATCATACATACATACATACGCACATATATATATATATATTTGTAAATGTTTTATTATATCATTTCTTGTGACGACACAGAAGAAATGACACTTTGCTACAATGTAAAGCAGGAAGTGTACAGCTTGTATATCAGTGTACATTTGCTGTCCCCTCAAAATAACACACAGCCATTAATGTCTAAACCGCTGGCAACAAAAGGGGAGGAACCAGGGAAAGCAAAATATAAGAAGATTCAACTTCAGCTTTAAGAGGAGAAAACACTAAATGCATATTTGTTTCTCTTCTCCGTTTAGATGAAGAAGTGTTCTTCTCGATGGCAGATATGGATATGTCTCACAGCCTTTCTTCTCTCCCACCACTTGGTGACCCGCCTACAGTGGATTTAGATTTGTCATTAAGTAGCACTTACACCAGTTCTCCAGTTGGCTCCCCCCTAGGAGGTGGCACAGTATGTATGACTTCTTTTATTATTACACCAGTGTCATGTTGGGTGGTTTGATATTTTTTTGGTCTTTTATTTGTTTGGGAATGTAATGCTTTTTAATTCATCATGAAATTGGCAGCTGCATATGAATGCGCTTTTGTTTATTTACAGACAACATGGGGCGACTATCAGGAACATCTGAGGATGGAGGAGACACTTTTACGAGGGGCCTCATACAAGCCCAGCGTGAACCAAAACACTCATAGACGAAGCTGTAAGTTGTTACCGTTCACTAATGCATAGTGGATTTGACTAAATATTCACCATGTGCCTGTCCTCTTAAATAAAATTGCAGCATGGATTGGCTGCTTTTAATGGTTTTTCAGGGACAGGTACATGACTTCCTGATTAAAAAAAAACAAAAAAAAAAAACAGATGGATCACTAGTCTTTAATCTAGATTGTCTTAAGGTGTGGTCAACAAAACATATGTATAAAAATTAGAGGTGCACCAAAATGAAAATTTTAAAACCGAAATGAAAGAAAATGTTGGGCTGAAACTGAAAATGTTTTGGTTTTTTTTCTAACTTTTTAAAATTTTTCAAAATATAAAAATTTTTTTATAAACTTTTTTTTATTTTTTTTACATATTTTAATTTTTTTAACTTTACGGTCGGCCCGTGCCCCCCCTCCCTCCGTGGCCCCTCCTCCCGTTGTCACGCTGATCCCGGGCTCCGGCACAGTGCCACTCTGACAGGGGATCAGAGGGAGGTCGGTACACGATCTCCCTCCGGCCCCCTCTCCGCTGTAAGAATGCGCATTCTTGTGTCACTCTCCAGCTTTAGACGCCGGAGAGAAGCTGATGAAGCCGACCTCTGCTTCATCAGCTTCTTCGGGGGTCCTAGGTGACATTGGGGGTCTTGGAGACCCTAACCCTGATGTCTCCATAAAGAGGACCTGTCACATCTTTTGCTATCACATAGGAGGAGTTTCTTAGCCCCCTATGTGATAGCAATAAAGTTAAGTGAAAAAAAAATAGGAAAAACAATTAAAGTTTCCCAAAAAATGTTTTAAAGTTTACACATAAAAAAGAATTAAAAAAACAATTTTTTTTTAAAAGTCCCCCCATACATACACGCATGCAAAAATGCGTCAGGTGCACATACCTGCGAAAAAGACGATTGCGCCCATTACGCCGCACATGTTACATATCGCCGCGAACGTCGCAGTGAAGCTTTTAAAGCGTCGTCTATGGTCAATTTTAGGTATGGTGTTTTTTTTGCGAGTGTGCGCAATTTGTAAGCTTGACATGTTTGGTGTCTATTTACCCGACGTGACCCCGTCTTTTATATTTTACCAAAAAATTGGGTGATTAATAAATGTTTCCTAACATAATGTAAAAAAAACCTTTTTGTTCTGGGAGGGGGAGTGGCGGTGCAGCACCACAGCCACGCCCCCCCGTTTTTCAAACTATGATCCGGCCCCCAGCAATGTCTGAGGGACAGTGAACTGGCCCCATTTTTAAAAAGTTTGAGGACCCCTGCTCTATACTGAGTGTTCCTGTTCATTCCTAACATGAGGACATAGTGTGTTTACTATAACCACAATCATGAATGAACAGGAGGTGATGTTGATCACTTCCCATTCATTCATAATTGAGGATATAGTACACACTCTATCCTCAATTATAGCTCTCCTCTGATCTGTGATAAGAGGCTGAGCAGTGCAGGAGGGAGAGAAGCCGCCCACTCACAACGCTTGACTCCAGCAGCATTCGGCCGCCTGTGACATCTTTCTCTCCTCCCCGCTGGAACACAGAGCACCTCCCAGCAGGGAGGAAAGAACCGATGCACAGCTGTATCGGCAGATGTTAGAAAATATTTATTTAATGACACTTACGATTTAAGCGTCATAAGGTGATTATAATCTTCATCAAAGAATGTCCAGTTGTTGAATGAAAAACTTGTGACTTTAATTGTATAGCATAAAGTCAAATATAATGTGGGCCCATACTTTTATTCCTTTTAAGCCAAATCAAATTTGAATCTAAGTATTTGACAGCAGAAAAATGGCACTTTCCGGCATTTAGCCAAAAGTGCCATTTCGGCGGCTCATATATCGATGCATCCCTTATGTTGTCCAAAAGTTACCTGTTACAAGTGAGAATATATTTTTTTGTTACTAACGGCTTATTCTGTTAAATGAATATAACTACATATAAACCCTTCTATTGCAGCACTGCCAGCCCGTTCGGCCTCTGTGGATGAATCTAGACCAGAGCTTGTTTTCAGACTGGCCGTAGGCTCTTTGTCCATCTCCGTGCTCCATATAGACCCTCTGCCGCCAACAGAAGCCACGTCAAGCCCTAACCCATTGACCCCTCTGTCGCTCGGGTTCTTCAACCGCATTGAGGCTTTACAGCCGCAGACCTTCACGCAGAGTGACTTTGCCTGTTTACGAAATATCTTTGCAGAAGCCTGCACTCATGATCACCTCAGGTACCCAGACTCAAGTCTTCTTGTGTAACTTCTTGTACTTTTGCTGCAGCCATACTATTGCTATTCCAAAGAAAGAAAACAAAAAGGTGTACATTTATAAAGCACAGCAATAATTAAATGG